ACTGTCCCCAGCAGGTCCCTGGGGCTGCACTGTCGCCAGCAGGTCCCCGGGGCTGCACTGTCCCCAGCAGGTCCCCGGGGTTGGGCTGTCCCCAGCAGGTCCCTGGGGTTGGGCTGTCCCCAGCAGGTCCCTGGGGCTGCAGGGCTGCACTGTCCCGAGCAGGTCCCTGGGGCTGCAGGGCTGCACTGTCCCCAGCAGGTCCCCGGGGTTGGGCTGTCCCCAGCAGGTCCCCGGGGTTGGGCTGTCCCCAGCAGGTCCCCGGGGTTGGGCTGTCCCCAGCAGGTCCCCGGGGCTGCACTGTCCCCAGCAGGTCCCTGGGGCTGCACTGTCCCCAGCAGGTCCCCGGGGTTGGGCTGTCCCCAGCAGGTCCCTGGGGCTGCACTGTCCCCAGCAGGTCCCCGGGGTTGGGCTGTCCCCAGCAGGTCCCTGGGGCTGTGGCGCTGCCCGCGGCTCTGGGCAGGGCAGGGCAGGGCAGGGCAGCCCCCGGCGCTGTCTGTCTGTCTGTCTGTCTGTCTGTCCATGGCTCAGGGCCCTGCCAGTTGGCACGCCCGGGCCAGGAAGCTGTCAGTTCCAATCAGGGCCCGGCCCTGCAGCCCTATTAAAGAAGTCTTGCTGGTTAAGGGGCGGCCACTGTTTCCAAAGCATGGGAAGGAAAAAAAAAAAAAAAAAGAAAGAAAGAAAGGAAAAAAGAAAAAAAGAAAAAAAAAAAGGAAAAAAAAGGGCTCTGCTTTCCTTAGATTCGAGCTGGCAACTTTCACTGACTGGAGTTTTCAAGGAGCTATGAATGAGCCTAACAAAGGAGTTCTGTGGCCAGTTTCTGGCTGAAATCCATGTCAACAGTTTTTAAGGTCACAGGTCACACTAACTAACATTTATTCCCAGCAGACCCTGCTCTAAACACAAGCTGTAAGTAGTACAAATTTGGAATTTTTCTGTAATCCCTTGAGATATTCCTGATCCTTCCACATGTTTCTGCTCAATTAAAAACAATTCTCACTTTGCACCACAAGAGAGGCCCCTGCTCAGAAATCTTATTCTGTCCTAAGAATAAATGGACAAAGACTGCAATCAAAGGGAAGGAAAGGGGGGAGGAGAGGAACTCACAAAAAATCACACCAAAAACCTCAAATAACTCCATACAGAATCACATTCAGTTAGTTACATTTTCTGCCATCTGTCACAAACTATTATGGATTCATTTCTTTTTATCTTAGAAAAAGAGTGGTGCAGAGCTCAGCTATTTTGGCCGAGAGGGATTTCCACACAAATGTTTCTGCATTTCACTTCAAAAGAACGATTTCAGTTTGTGTATGAAACCTGAATAACCCAACAGAAACTTCAAATTCAGTAAAGCTGAAATCACATTGCAAACATGGGACCTTTGCAAACCAGTAACTTTGCCCAGAAAGTTTGTGAACCAAAGCAAAATTACACAAACTTGGGTTTTCTTTTGTTTTCTTTTTAAATAAAAGACCAGAGCTCTTCACTTAATCCAGAACCATCTACACCGTTCTCCCTCAAAAGTCCATGTGAAATCTGATGTGAAATTAGAGAGAAACAATAAAAATTCAGCCTCTTAATGTATAGCTATTAGGATTTATCCCATTGCAGCCAAAATCCTGAAATTCTTAAATAAAGTCTTAGTAAGAAAAAACATTTGGGTGTGAAATTCCCAAATTAGAACACAGAATTTGATGACTGGACATCAGCTCTTACTCGACTGTAAAGAAAATCATTCAAAAACACATTCTAAGTTTTGTACCATATTTCATTGAAAACAGTAGTCTGGAATTCCAGTTTTCCTGGGAGACGTGGGTGTGTGCCATGAGAACTCACCTGAGCTCAGACCCCAAACCTTCTGGGGTCTAGGATTCACCTGGAATCACCCCAAACCCTCGGGCTCCGTTCCTCACCTGGGCTCACCCCAAACCCTCGGGGTCCGTTCCTCACCTGGGCTCATCCCAAACCCTCGGGGTCCGTTCCTCACCCCAAACCCTCCGGGGTCCGTTCCTCACCCCAAACCCTCGGGCTCCGTTCCTCACCTGGGCTCATCCCAAACCCTCGGGGTCCGTTCCTCACCCCAAACCCTCCGGGGTCCGTTCCTCATCCCAAACCCTCGGGCTCCGTTCCTCACCTGGGCTCACCCCAAACCCTCGGGCTCCGTTCCTCACCTGGAATCACCCCAAACCCTCGGGCTCCGTTCCTCACCTGGAATCACCCCAAACCCTCGGGCTCCGTTCCTCACCTGGGCTCACCCCAAACCCTGCGGGGTCCGTTCCTCACCCCAAACCCTCGGACTCCGTTCCTCACCTGGGCTCATCCCAAACCCTCGGGGTCCGTTCCTCACCTGGGCTCACCCCAAACCCTCGGGCTCCGTTCCTCACCCCAAACCCTCGGGGTCCGTTCCTCACCCCAAACCCTCGGGCTCCGTTCCTCACCTGGGCTCACCCCAACCCCTCCGCTCCGTTCCTCACCTGGCCGTACCTGCGCCCCCGCGCGCCCTCTGCTGGCGCCGCCGCCGCAGCGCAGCCGCTCAGGGTCACCCGAGCCGAGCCAGGGAGCGACAGAAGCGGGCCGGGAAGGGGAACCCCGAGAAGAGAGGCAGGTTCCACACTGAATACAGTGGCTCTACATTGAAAACACCACAGAGCACCCCGAAAAGCAGGTTTCAAAGTTATCAGAAAGTTCATCAATGTGCGTGAGCCACTACAGCAGGAAAAGCGCTGCGGTAACTACCTCAAAAGCAGGTTTCCAAGCAGGATTTGTTAAACCAGTCCAAGCAGTTCCCTGCCAAATGGAATTGCCTCTCTGCTGGCCACAGGATAACCCTGCTGCTACTGAACTCCAAGAGGCGCCTTGCTGGGCTCTGCATCCACAGGAAAAGCCTCTGGGTCACTTCAATGCTCAAATCCAGACCCTGACTTCTGGCCCCAGAGTACTTTGCTTCCAGGACATTGCAGAAATTTTTTCAAGCACTGAGTGAAAAGAATTTCTTTTTTCTGCTGTTTCTCTTTAATAACTAATCTAAACATGTGATGATTTTCCACCTCCAAACCATTTTACCATGGCCAGACCCATAAAATCCCTGCCAACCCTGTGAATATCATCTCTAGTAATAAACACCATCACTTAGTTCTTATACTGTTGCTGAGCATAGCAAGGAATACTTGAAGCTCGCTGCCATCCAATCTGTAATTTAAAAACAATTAAACAAATGTTCTTTTCATCCCCATTTGCTTTTACTTATCGTTCTCACATTTCCCAGCATGTTCCCCCCGCCATTTACCATGCACCATCCTTTAGTACATAAAGGACACTGAGAAGATTCACATCAATAATGGGAGCTGCAGTCCTGGGAATAGAGGAAGTGACTTCATGTATTGCTGATTTACACTCTTTATTATCCTCTAAAACTTGCATGAACTTGCATTAATGATGAGCTTTCTTTTTCTCATCAGTGCACAGAAGAAGCAACAGGAAGGAAGTGAAGAGTCCCAATTCTTCCACTGGGGTTGGGTTTTTTTGGTTCTGAGTTGAAGCAGAAGGCATTTAACTACAACAGAACTCCTCCGTGTCTTCTTGGCACTCACTCAGCATAAGGGAGCTGACAGCAAAGAACTCTTACCCAGGAGGGATCAAGAAGGGACCCAGACTATTCCTCATTCTGATTTTCTTTTTAAAACCGTGTTTCTCCTTTAATTTGCCATTGATCAGGCAAAGTTACCCTCTGTAAGCAGTCACTGCCCACATGAGACTGAGGGAAGCAGCACCCAACTGCACAGGGGAGCAGCTCTGTGGGAAGAGCTGGGAAACACCTTCCTGCCTGCAGGATCCAGTCCCTGCTGCTGGACTGCCAGAGCTAATAATAGCTGAAATGTCTGCTACAGCACAGGCAGAATGGAAGAAGATACTGAGCAAACACCTGTCACTCTGCCTCCCACTCAATTAATTAGCAGTTTGGGTAGATCTCACAATTCTCCAAATATTAAGCTCTCCTTCCATGGCATTGCTGTGTGCAGCTCCCTGCAAGGAGAGGTGTATTTTGCATTGTATTTTGAAATGTCCCCCTGGAATGCTCAGAGGGGCACATCCAGGCACAGCAGGGCTCCACTCTCAGGTGCCCCACATGGGACAAAGAGAATTTCCTGTGTTCCTCTGTCCTCACCCTGGTTGTGTCCTGTGCAAATCCAGCCAGGGATGGCCCTGCCAGATGTGTCCAGCTGCTCACAGAGCAGTGTCCTCATTTGGGAGGCTCCAGCCCCAGCTGTGCTGTCACCTCCCTGGCTGTCCTCAGTCACTTCTGTGCTGGCTTTACCTGGGCTGCTGTTCCTCAACTTCCAATTCCTCATGAACACACAAAAAGCAGAAAGTAGAAGACAGGCAATTCTTAACTGTGTTTAAAACAAGACAGACCATCTGCCACATGAAAATCTTCAATCCATGGAAGTTCTTCATGGAACTAAAATATTGGCAAACATCAAAATTGATTTTACTGGCATCATTTCTGGACATGGCTTTGGGAGGTTATGAAAAACTGCTCTGATAGAGCCTCTTGGCCCATTTCACAAAACCCTCGACAGGACAGAGGAAGGCTCACACACACAAACTGTGGGGCTGTGGAGAGCATCAGTGACATCCTCTCAGTTACCAACAGATGTTTTGTTAATAAAACTTGCATGTACAAATGTCCACAAAATGTCTTAACAAGATCAGTTGTGACAGCTAAAGATAACAGCTGCCATCATGCTATGTCATATCAAATTACTGCAAAGAGACTTTTTTTCCACGTTGTTAACTCCAGAACGTTGACTACAAACAAACCCAGTTATCTACAGAGGAACTCCAAGTGCAAGGGATTCTGCACCACTCGTGCAGCAGAACAGTGACTTTGAGGAGCAGATAGGGGAATAATTCTGACCAGCTGGAAGTGGTAATTGCAGTGTAACTGCAAAGCCACACACTGCTCCTGCAGCCAGGCAGAAGCCAAGGCACAGACCTACCTCAAGATACAGAAGCAGCTCTTGGCCCCCGAGGACAAGCGACAGAACCCAAACCTCTGCTTGCTGTCAATGTCTGTGAGCACAAAGGTGAAGTTCTGCCCAACTTGGTTAATGGCATGGCTGGAAACAGAGAGCAGGAGAGAAAAATTACTGCTGAGCTAACTCTGTGTCAAGTATCACATCCAAGTCATTGAACCTATAACATTTCCTCTTTCAGCAGAGCTTTTTTGAAAAATTAACTACAAAGTATGCACCCTCCAGAAGCTTAAAAATGCTTGATGAGGGAGGAGTGGGGGGTCTGTGGTTTATTTTTCCCATTTTTTAAGTGTGGGAGGATACTAATAATGAGTTTATCTTTAAAAGAAAATGGTTCTGATTATCAACCAGCAACCAACCCCATGTTCTCTCATATAACCCAAATACTTCTAATTATAGGAAATTAAGACTTATTTCAGGTCATGTTCTAGGGTTTTTTTAGGTTTTCTGAGAACTGAGAAATCTGACTTGCACTGACATGTAGCTTTACAAGTCACGCCTACCAACTGCAACAAATACCCTGGTAAACTCAAAGCCATTTAAGTAACAGCCACAGGCCTTAAAATACTCTCTTCTATGATGCCACATGCAAAAAAGCAATTTTTGTGGGAGAGTACACACTCAGTGCCTAGAGGAAACAAAAGAAAAACAGACTTGCAGAAATAAAAGCTGGATCCAAATGGGAAAGATGTCACTGTCCAGCTTAGAAAGAAGAATCCTTCAGTGGATTCCAAACAGGGAAGAGAAAACATGCTGTGATGAAGATGAACAAAAAGACAGATATTTAAAGCATTCCAACAGTCTGAGAATTAGCCAGTGTGAGTACTATCATCCTTCTGAAATCTAAATGTCAGCAGAGCAACTACTTCCATAAACCACACTGAGCTGCTGGGGATACCCAAAAATCCCTCACTGGTGGTGTGTTTTATCTGTAAAGCTTGGATGTAATGTTACTATGGTGATTTTAGTATGGTGTTTTAAAAGGGGATTATATGCTTAATTTTAACAAGGTTGAGAGCAGAGCGTGTGTGAGAAATAGCATCAGAACTGACAATTAAAATTATGGAACAGGGGGAAAAACCACGTTTCATTAGCAGCAGGAAGAAGCTTGTTTATTAAACAACCCAGACAAGCTGGTGAGTTCCTCCAGAGCAAACCCAGAGAGTCCTGCATTCATGTGACCTGGAGAAAGCAAACCTTGCTGGCAGGTCCTGCTCAAGTTCGGGGCCAGTTTTTCACAGGGAAGGATAAACTTCCCCACACAGAAAGTGTTCTTCCTAAGATTTTACTATCAACCCTTTGGATTCACAGCTCTGCTTCCAAATGGGCAGAAGGTCTGTTTAGAACCTCACAGGATGGAGGCAGCACAAATCCCATCTCTAAGGGGGCAGACAGAAGTTAGGGCTGGAGGGGAGAGGAATGATTTCCATAAACCCCCCCAGCACCCACAGCTGCCCAACAGCACCCTGGCAGGCAGCAGGAGCAGGGAGCAGCTCTGCACTCCTGCAGCTGGAGCAGAGCCTCTGCCTCATTCCACACAACAGCAGCAAACTCTGGGCCACAGGAATGGCCAGCCAGCCCCTGGGGCTCTGGGCAGTGCCAAACTCAGGAACAGAATCAGGGCAAAAAGAATGGAGGGTCTGTGCCTGAGAGCAGAATCTCCAGTGCCACCCCTGCCTCTTTCACACCCACAGGAGAAGGAGCACAAGCATCTCCTGCAGCTGCCACAGCCTTAGCCTGGGTGTGCTCTGCCTCCTGCAGGGTGGGAGTCCACTGTCCATCTGAAATTATTAGGTGTGTTCTGGGTGACAATGTCTCCTTTTCATTCCAACTGGCTGGCTGCAGTCTTTCAGTGACAGTCTGTGATATTCAGACAAACAAGTGGATCCAGAAATGGGAATCACTTTTCATTATGTTCTCATTTGCACCCCATATGGGTTTTCAGTGCTCTATCTTTCAAAATGTTATATTGCTGAGGAAAACCAAAAACAACAAAACAAACAAAACCCCTAGGTACAATAAATCTACATACAGAAAGCATAACTGTTTCTAGTAGGAACTAGAAATGAGAAAAATGTATGAGTATTTCCCTGCTTCCACCCCTTAGGAAATGAAAAGGATGAGCAGTAAAACAGGGATTCCAAATTCTAAAATGAGAAAAAGACTTGCAGCAGTTTAATCACAGTAAAGGTCAATTCCCTCAACCCAAACCATTCTGTGTCTCAGCTGATGAAGACAAGTCATTCTGACCAATTAAGTGATGCTCAGAGATGAGATGAGCACTGGTGCAGTCTTTCAAAATTTCAATTGTTCTTTTCATGAAACCATCAAGAATAACTCACAGTAAAGGCAAAACTAAAAAAGTTTTACAGTTTCCTAAATTACAGGAAGTAAATATTCTTATATCTTCTCACATTCACTTTACAATTTCTCCCCCAAAATCAGAAGTCACCTTAAGTAGCTGTCAAGTAAAACAGCAGCATTCCAGCAACATCAAGAGGCCTTCAAATGTAAAGCATTTCATTGATTGTCTCACCCAAATTTTGGCAATTAAGAAATAAAATGCACAAGCAAACAAAGCTTTGATATTAATATGCATACTGGAGAATTCCTACCCAAGCATTTTCCATCCAAGCATTGTGCAGAAGTGAAAAAAATGCCCTCAGAGTACTCCCACCAAACAACTCCAACTTTTAAAATTTCTTTTTGTTTCATGGTGCCCATAAAAACCCCAGGAAAAAGTGATTCTGAGACTATAATTTGCACTCAGGTGCTTTAAGTCCCAGTCACACAGACAGAACACTATGAATGGTATGGCTTTTATTTTCTACAAGGGTTTTATTGACAAGCTTATTTTCTTGTAAAGTTTGAAAAGCTAACAATACCTGTCCACATAGAAGGGGAAACAAAACTTGGTCAGAGTCTGTAGAACTTCCTGTAGAGAGAGAGAAAAAAAAAAAGATAATTTATACATCTGTGGGGACCAATAAATCTAATATTAACCACATCACACAATTTCACAAGTTTGCCCTGAAGAAATAAAAGACAGATGAAGAAATATGGGCTTTATCAATTACATGGAAGTAGTACCAGGCAGTCAATCATGTGAAATAATAAACATGATCAAACTTCATTAAAAATGAAAAATTAATCAAGATTCACACATGGGCAGGCAGCAGGAGCCATGCAGCAATTGTCCCAGGAGGAGGAGGAGGTTGGGTTGTTGAGTGTTAACACCTCTCTGGGGACAGTCCCTACCCTGGCCATATGGATCACAGAGAATAACACCAACCCACATGGGCCTGGCCTGGCAGGACCACTCCTGCTGGCACAGCTTGGACTGTTACCTAGGAACAGAGGGCTGGGGATTAGAGAATACTTCCTAACATCAGCAAGATAAATAACAAAAGATGAAGCCAATAGGTCTCATAGCAGGAATGTTTAATGTTGCCTACTGCTATTAGAAAGGAAATCTCAGAGTTAAAAGACTGATTAAAATAATGTGTATTAAAATTGATATGGATCGTTTAACCTACAAACCATTTTCTAGAAGTTGCAAAACAGCACCACTAAGCATAAGAGCAAAGAAAAGAATGAACATGAAAAGTGAAAACACGATCAGCAGATAAATTAATCATTTTCAACTTTACAATATTAAACAAATACAGTCACTAAAGAGGCAAAACCAGAAATATGTTTGTCCCAAAACAGTTGTGTTCATAGACAAAAGCAAACCACTAGATATTCAAAATTTGAATTCTGTAACCCACAAGACACCATAAAGTTCTCTCAGTTTACAATCTTTCCTACAGCCAATTCATTGCTCATTCTCCTTCACACTTCAGTATTTCAGGTCCTGAAGTGTAAATTCCATTTCTGCTTTCAGAACCCTGAACAAACAACAAACCCTCTGATAAAATCAACACTTTTCTGACCAATAGCAATAAATTATCATCAATAACTAAATAGATGCTTCTTGCTTCATTTATTTCTAAGCCAAATGCCATCATTCCCAAATAAACTCCATCAATCTAATAACCTCTCCAGTGAAGCACAAAACATATTGACTCCCTTGCAGGAACATGCTCCTCCTGCATAATTCAAACCAGCACAGCCCATCCTGAGCCGTGGGTTCAGGCTCAACTGCTCACACTCTGCTTTGGAGGTTTCTTGACAACTAAAATGTGGCAAGTTCTGAGGATTTCAGGCAGAAACAGATATGGAAACTTTGACTTCTTGACAGTTTATTGATAGATTATTTAACAACCTCCTGTTTTTAAAGAACAAGAAAGGATCTATTGAAGAATGCCATGTAGAGCAAAGACGTCTCCTCCTTTGAATTGCAGCAGGAAACTTGGAAAGGAGCAATGCAGATTGCAGAGTAAACTCTGCAGAAATCTCGATTTTGATACAAAATAATGCCTCGATAGTAAAGGTCTCATTAATATGATCGGGTTCCCGCTGGTGCAGAATCTCACTGACTTTCACAAGCTGAACAACTCCACTTGCTCAGGCACAAAAACTGCATCTGGACAAATTCTAACTACTACACAGCGGTCCTTTGCCACAACTGAATTCTTAAGTGCAAAATGCCAGCAAACAAACAAGCAAACAAAACCTACAAAAGAATTCTAAAATTGTGAAATCATTATATCAGGAGAACAAAGTGCCTGTATCTTCATTTGCCTGATCAATACACACTGATTTTCAGAAATAAAATCATATAGATGCATAACATTCTGAAATAAAATAGTGCAAGAAGACAAAGCCATCAGTCACCTCAAAATGGCACAATATATTCTCTCCATTATTTTGATGACTTGAATAATTCCTGTAACTGCAAGTGAAATCATTCACATAATAAAACATTCAGCATCTCATCAGCATTGTGTCACTGGAGAAGTGAATTACTCAGAACTTACTCTGCACTTATTCCTTGATATTTACAGCTTCCTAAACTCAGCAAAGGAAATGTTCACATAAACAGGCCATATATTGGCTCTGTACTGCTCTAAACTGCCTTCTTTTTTAAAGAAAGATTTTACAGTGGTGTTATTCTCTGACTTTTGCAATGTCATTCAACATAATTTGCTATTCATTATACACCAATTCTTATCTGCCTGGATTCATAACAAAAAAAACTGAGACTAGCACAGGTTAACTGCAGACTTATTTTTCAATGGTAACTAATAAAATAATATAAATACCATATGTAGAATTAGTTTTTAATTAGGAAAACTGCTGATCTTTTGCACATAAGAAAACAGTTACTGGAGAACTATCTCATTTTTGCTCAAGTTGCAAGCTCGTTACTCTAAATATAATGCTGCTTTTTTAAAATTCTTTAAATACTCCTCAGTTAGAAAGACAAACAATACCTACATCATTCATATGCAACATTCTACCCAATCTCTATAGGTAATTACTTATGACCTAGAAAATCCTTCATTTCTTTATGATTTCAGACAAAACAAAACCTACAATTGCTCCATGTCAACATCTTATAATTTATTTTTTTTTTTTAACCCAACATGAAGCACGAAGAAAGTATCAATAGTCTGGTTTTTTGTTTTATTCCCTTATGGCTATTTTCCTAAAGAAAAACCTGCATAAGTGCCTGTAAAGCAAGAGCCCCTAAAAAGAAGAGCAGAGCCCCCCAGCAATGCAGGCCAGGCAGCTGATCAACGCAAATTACCCGGGAGCTGCCGCCGGCGTCTCCAGGGGACCCCGCGCCAGTTTTCTGGATCAATCCCCAAGTTTATATTTTCAGAAATCTTTTTACATGCAGTTTGATTTTTAACATTTTAATGAGCAAAAAGTGCATCTCCAGCAGCCAGGCAGCAGAGCTAAAGTGCAGGGCATGAACCGTGTCCCGGGGGAGGCGGCGCAGCCGCGGCACCGGGGGCTGCAGCCCAGGCACCACCTGGCTCCCCGTCCCAAGGTTCCAACTCTTTTCATAATCAAAACACTGCTGACATTAGAAACCCCACATGGCTTTTCTAAAATCCTTCCCAATCAATAAAGGCAGTACATAACTTATCGGAGACAACGCAGAGCTCATTGATTAAGTTTGGTTTCAGTAGCAAAGTTTTCAGAATAATTGAGGCAGGACCAGCGCGCTCAGCCCTTCTGTGGCACAGCCACCTCTGAAGGTGAGGCCGGCTCTGCAAGGCTTTCCTACACAGGCAGGACAGACTTGGAAAGCCAGGCTGGGAAATACACACAATACACACCGGGCTCGTGGCCCAAACCATCTCCCTGTTGCAACCAAACAGTAAAGAAAGCTCAACAATGCTGCAAAAATGTGCACATTCACTTGTGAATTTAATATGCAAGCTGTAGCTGAAGTCTTTTTTATTTTTAAACCCTTCACCGTATGCTCCCACTTCCAAATCAACAGAACAACTTCAGATTCTCTTAAATACAGTGGGTTGCTTCACTTCTGCTCAAATGAACATCACTAACAAATATCCCACGTGCAGCTGCAATTAAATAAAACTGCACTGATAAACGATGTGCAAATGCCTGGGCTAGAGAAGGGTCTGCTGCAAAGTATCTGTCCTAGAAAGATGCACGAGACACCAGAGATGCAAAGGAGAACAAGAAGCGTGGGGAGAAGTGGGACAGAAAAGAAATTAGAACACCAGGAGATCTGTGGAAAATGCTGAATGATTAAAGTATGATACCTCCATAGGAATGGGAGTCAGAGCAGGGAAACAACACACCACACAAACCAACAGGCTGGGAGCCTGGAATGGAAAACCTGAGGGAAATCCAGATGAAATTGGAAGGACCACCCAGAGCAGAGACTGGACCTTCAGCTGTGGATCCTGGAGGGAGTGGAAAGGAAGGAACCCAAACCTCCACATGTATATGTTACAAGAGAGCAGAGCATGGCCAGTGAGAGGAGTTTTCCACGGGGAAGAGATGACCCTGTGATGAACAAGGGAGATTGCTGTTTCATTTCCTTGCCCTTACACCTGAGGCAAAGCACAGCTGAGGCTGCTGCAAATGAAACACTACTGAGAGGGTGGAAACACTTCTCACCTTACCCAGCTTGAAAGGCCACCTGAACCCAGCAAAGCAGCGTGAAACTCTCCCTCTGCACGGAGGGACACCAGGAGACTTCCAAGAACATCACCAGACTGAGGAGCGATGGAGGAACTGGAGAACAAGGAGGGCCCAGAGGAGAAATGCCCCCAGCCTGAGGGGCTCAGGGTGTGTGAGCACAGGGAGCAGCCATGGGGACTGCACTGCTCCTCAGATGCAGCATCAAATCTGAACACTACAGAAATCTTAATATTGCATTAAAAACTGCTAAGAGATTAACTGAAGCAAAATATTATCCAATTCAACTTGGGTTGTCCATTAATGTCTCCTATACCCACGGAATTGTAAACTGCTCTTATATTTAATTAATCTATTTGGATCATTTTAAGCAAGCAATTAATTAAATGATCCACTGCTAGGGAATAATAGGCTTAAGAATTCAAAAAAGCGAACAATAACCTTAAACCCAAAATTTCTCTAAGTTCTAAAGGTTTTTCTAGTTTTGAGAAAACTGGTACAACACAGATTCTTTTTAAAAAATCATTGCTTGTTTAAAATATTTATGTCACATTTCATCTTGCATTGATTTTGCAATAAAATCTTTTTATGCCTTATATCCTTACTGAGCATTACTGAATTTTGTAATGTACTAAATATTTTAATAAATTATTTTCATCAGTTCTTTAAAAGAATATTCTATGCCCCAAAAAAATCTGGACATAATTTGCTTAAGAGAATGACTTTAAATTGCTTGAATTTAGTTTTATCTCTACTTTTCTAATTCTACTGGTATTCCAATACAACTTTATAGCACTAGATTATCCATTTGTTCTGGGTTTCAGAAATCCACCAGCTCTCTCTGAGCAATTCTAAAGCCTGAATTAG